CAGGTCGAGGCTAGGACTGAGAACGATTCTGGATGGAACTGTTATGGACACTGAGACTGAGACTCCATCGAGATCTCGATGTTCACGGGATCATAACTTGCGACACGAACTGATCTCTGCGCTGGCGTCAAATACGATTATCTTCTCTCACGTGTGGAGGGGACGTTCGAGATTTCATTCGACCAGAATCATGGTATTCCGCAACAAACTATCGTCAATGAACCCTTACTTTTTTTGTTGATGCTGTACAACAATGACAAAAAAACCAAGTAACACACTGGTATAACGCACATTTTGACGACTAGTCGATACACTCTCTATTGTTGTTGATAAAGCTGTTCGAACGATACAAGGCAGAACAAGCAAAACAAAGGCAAAATATTTATGCACAACAAAAAAATATTTCCAACTATACATCAAGGTTTGTTATTTCACATATACGGATGAATGCGCATAAGCCAAACTTATTTCACGTCGTATATATATATTCAGCGCAATTCTTTTATCTCTCACATTCAACGACATCAATATCTTACACTATTACGCTTATCGTAGACAAACAAGATTTCGTACGTATACAACGAACTAACATATACCTTTCGAAAGTGTACTCTCTTCAGAAGATCCTTTTAGTCATTAGTATCCAGTAGATTTTTCTGTCTTTAATTAGCACCACTAATCTTGTATTATATTATTTGAGTATCACGGTAATTACCTAGAGTATATCAAAAGTAATGACACTGGTACTAGAATACTTTATAGAAAGTTCAAGATAATTTCCTCTTTTTCTATAGTGATAGTCTATACAGCGCTGTCTAATTCTATGATAGTTCATAATTTTTCAGTTGACATTGGAATATTGGAAGCACAGCAAAAGTAGTGACGACTCGAGGAAAAATTGATGTACATAAGACAGTCAAAAAGTTCTGAGAACTAGTAACATCATTTTAATGAAAAGTACATTATATTTATTTGTCTACAGTAAAAGTTAGAAGGCATCATAATAATGTTCGATAGCAAGCTCAATTTACTTTTGAATAATCTTTTTGTATTCATCCACATGTGTCAAACTAATTGCTCGGTTATTGCTTAGTTAAATTTATTGCATCTAGGTAGATATTTAATCTATATTTTAAAATAGTTTAATAACAGAAGCTCACACGAAGCGAGACCGGTTGAATGTGTCTGACAGACTATATCGTTAAATTCTTTTTGCTTTGAGAAATTTAATAACACTTTTTATATGCGATTTGCAGTACCATGATGGATCTGATACTACTGATGCCTCATGATAGTCTTTGTTAAAAAGCTTCTTAACTAATCGTTCTTGAACATTATTGTGATCATTAGATAGCATTAACAGACTGTATAGAATGCACCTGACGAATAAGTAATGCTCACGTTATCATAAAGAAAATGACAAACATTATTTCTTTACATGTTGTCATCTTCTTATGACAAGTAAAATGTTTTCTCCTTTTATAGTCTAGGATTTCTCTCTTGCCTCTATCTAATACTGCAATACCTAATCTGTCTTTCAACGCCCGTCATTATATCATATCATCGCAGTGTCTGTTTCATAAAGTCTGCCAAATCTTCAGTATTAAATCGACGAATGTATCTAAGCAATAACCGAGTCATCAGTTTGACACATATCGATAAATACAAAAAGATCATTCAAAAGTAAATCGAACTTGCTATTGAACATTATTATGATATCTTCTAACTTTTGCTGTAGACAAATAGATATAATGTACTTTTTATTAAAGTGATGTCACTAGTTCTCAGAACTTTTTGACTGCTCTATGTAAATTAAAATAATTTTAAATTTACGAAATTTAAATGTATAATAAATTTAAATTTTGTAAAGATTGTTTCTGAATTTGATAAATTTTTTAAGCGCAAATTCATTACAGCTATTGTCAAAGTAAATGATTTCAAAAAAATAAATAAATAAGAAATAAGGCAAGAAACTGGTATTATATGTGAAAATCTTATTATCGGAGTAAAAGCTGTTAACGTAATCCTTGCAGGATTAAAATATGAAACACGATATACCTATTGTTGGTGATCCTCTAAAAAGTTAATTTTTTTATGTGTATTGGAACATATTTCAATGGCATTCCTTACCTTATAGTATAGAATTTCCAAAGAAAATACTCTATCTATAAATTTCAATTAGATGTTAGTTATATATAATCTCTAATACTTCCTTGGAATCGTCCGTCACCATCTATAATGGATCCGAACCCTGTCTGTCACAGTCTGTGATAGTCTCTTGAGCCTGTCTGGCATGGTTTGTGACAGTCTCTGAAGAGTGTCTGTCACAGTCTGTCACGGTCTGCGTGGGAGCGGAGGGATGGGTGCAAATTTCTATCCTATATACTTCAACACTCCCGTCAGATCGTTTTTCACAAAAGATTCCGTATAAAAGAGCTGTTGTCAATTTCTCTTATCGTCTAAAGATATTAAAATACTCATAAACATATTTGATAGCATACTTTCGAAATAGGAGTGCTCTTTCTTTCCTAGGGATAACCAAACAAATTTAAATTTAATTTAAATTAATATAAACTTATTTAGATTTAATTTAACTCTTTCTTTCCTATGACTGAAGTTTAAAGTCTGGAACTGACATTCGTCTAGCATTGTGATCACAATGGTCCCTAATATGCACACAAAAAGTTTGAATCACATCGGTTTAGTGCTAGTATAGTTAAGTCATAATGGTTCGTTAACACTCTCTTATGGCATGGCTATAGCACACGTCATAACACAGCATATTTGTCTGAATAGTAAATAAATGTTTTATAAAGAATTTTATGTTCAGCTTATTGATAGAAAATCTGTAATAGATGTGCCTTACGTTGGTATAAAATTAGTTTCTATATGCCTTGTATTACAAGAAAGTGAGACTTTAGAAAATGGCACCTATAGATGCCGTTCGGAAAGAAAGGGTTAAATGTATTAAAATGAGATGTCTACTGGCGCCGGTTCATTCACAAAGAACCGCTACATAGATCAGTTCCTAACAAAGAAATGTTGAGACGTATTAGCTTCTATTAAAAGAACTGTTAGAACAGTTCTCAAGATCGAAACTAATATGGAACTGTCATAAGTCTAGTACAAGAAACGAATCAATAGTTTATTTTCTCTCAATGTTCCCTATGGAAAACGATGAATTAGGAGTTTTCTCATTAATGGTATATTGGATTTTAACGAATGAGATATGAAATCGATAGAGCTCGTTGAGTTCTATCTAGAACGATCGTTAGTTTTGTTAAAATAGGTAGACAGACGAATCGTGGCGGGTTATACTATACTCGCTAATGAACAAAGATTTGAATTGTCGGTATTCCTTGAAACATACTGAAATCATCAAATACGTAATCCTAGATAAAGGTGTGGGTGTGGATGTGGATGTTGGTCTTCTCGTCACTCACACCCACAACCCACACTCACACCCATTTTGTACAGAGTGCTCCGCTGTATCTTTCTATCATAGAAACAGATTTTCAAGTGTTCATTTTAACATAGAAAAATTTATTACACAAATCGAGTCAGGACTTCTGACTCACCCTTTATGTAATATGCTGGTATATGAAAATACCTTTTACTTGTAATTTTTTTACCGTCAGAACACGAAAAATAAACGAAAGAAAAAATAGAGAAAGAGCACACACATGACGGTATACGTATGTATTGATACAAAACGAAGGTCTATCTAATGAAAATGCCACGGTTGACTAATTCACATAAAAAAGTGTATGTTGAAAAAAACCCAAACAGTACCGTCAAGTATAAATAGGAAAGCAAATCGTTTGTTCAGTACATCAAACAAAATTCGTACACTTCGATATTACTTGGTAAGCAGAGTTTTATATCTCATTTTCAATACTATTCAACTAGCATTAAGATTAACACTGAAAGACAACAACCAACGAAAGAAAAAGAGAATGATGCATTTCAATTATAAGAAAATAATTTTATAATAGCTTCAATTTAAGATGCTTAGTATACACAATTGATAGTCTATTGAATGAGATAACTTTAGCATGTAAGGTAACTAGTTGTTTTATGCCAATTCCTATTAAACGAAGCGACTTTTACATTTTTTGTTCCCTAGGCTGAAGCGAGCGTCCTACGGAATAAAATGCGTTTGTATGTCTGCATCTTTTCACGAAAGTTTTCTATAGGTTTTCGAGAGCGAGGAAATAAAAAATCCGAGGTCAGCTTTTGAAAATTTTGAGTTCGATTTTTGGAGCAAGGAAAGGTCTTTCGAGGAAAATAATAATATTCTATAAAGGTTGACGATAGTAAAGCGATGCTGGGAGTCCAAATCTAAAGCCAGTCTTTGAAAATTTTGTGTTTGATTTTTTGTAGTAAGGATAGGTCTTTCGAAGAAAGTGATGATATTCTATAAGGGTTGATGAAAGTAAATAAGAACGATTATAACTCTACTCTGAGTATGCCATTAGCAACGATCATAGTAGTATTCCAGCCTATATGTCTGGGCAAACTTGATATTGCGAAAAACTATTGAATGTGATATAATAGTAAATGAGCAGTCTTAATCATTCATTCATTCCAGTCGAGAGTTAAGCGAATCGAAGCGACGAGCGTTACTTATTGATTATAGCCTTGTGAATACATTATGAATAACTTCGTTCGTTCGGCGTGAAAAAAGATGTGGGCTTTTGTGCAATGAAGCAAAATCTATATGATTTAAACCACTAGTATAAAACAGAGTGATACTGAGCGTTAAGTAATGGCATAATCTCGATCGGTGTGGATCATACAGGGTGTCTGGAAAGTAGCTGTCTATTTTAAATTCTTTTTTTC